ACTTAAACTGGACGTCCACAGGACATCCTGTGCTATCTGGGGATCGTTAATATATCGGCGAATATCAGAAATAAGGTTAAATTCCAGTGAAAAAATGACATTTCGATCGACGTCGAATCGATGTCGATTTGATGTCGAAAACTGTATTTCGACGTCGATTCGATGTCGATTCGATGTCGATAAGGAGCGATTTTTTCCAGTATCGATAAATATTCGAAACCATGCACACAATCGAATCGAAATCGATCTTCAAATCGAAGTGATTTCAATAAGTGGTTCCCTGCTGAAAATGATCGATTAAAACCGATTAAAAGTAATCCAAATTGATCGGGATTTCTGCACCGAAAATACGGTATTAAAACCGATTGAAAATATATCATATTCTGGCGGATTCCTAATGAGAAATGATTCGTCGATCGATGTCGAAACGATGTCGAATCGACGTCAATTTGACGGTATCGATGTCGATTCGACATCGTTTTGACATCGATCGACGAATCATTTCTCACTGGGTTAATATTGGGTTATATACATCCACCTCAATCCGATATTATACGATTTCATCAAATCGGTTTTAATGCGATGTGAATTTGTCAGAAAACGACAAAAATAATCCGTTACTATTGGAAATTCGACAATTTTGCGGATTACATCGCGATATACAATTAAAAAAGTGTTAAATGTCTTGCTTATAGTATATTTCATGTAAACTTTATTTTATTTTAATTATCACATTCCACAAGAATACTATCGTGTAATATATTTTACGATATCAATACTGCTTGGTTGAGTTACCTTTAACATATTAATTTTAGAACCTTAAAATAAACTTATATTATAACAAAACGTACTTAAACTTATGATAAATGAACAGTTTATATATAACTAAATGGTATCAAACTTTCAAGTAATACAAACAATTGGTATTAAAATTGGAAATGAAATAAACACATGTCCGAAATCAGTGAATTTTGGATTAAATCGGATTACAATCAATTCAATTACTAAAAATTGGATATTTATTATAATGAATTAAAATTGCATATTAGATTGATTATTTTGGATTATATATCCATTATTTGTGTTTATTTGGACTGACAATATAGGTTTTAGAATGTAATGATTTCGGATTAGAAATAATCCGCGAAAGCGATATTAAAACTGATTGTAATTTGGTCCGAATTAAAATCGATTACTTTTTAATCTGGGCGCGGATTGAACCGATTAAAACCGATTAAAATGGATTAAAACGGATTAAAAAGTAATCCGTTTTAATCGACCATTTTCGGCAGGGTTTCGACGTCGATTCGATGTCGATTCGAAGTTCATTTCTCACTGGGAAGAACACACACACGCACACAAAATATATAAAACACATTATTTTCACAATATTTTGAAAATTGCTGTAATGTTGTTTGAACTATATTGGAAATTAATATCTATACAATGTTGCTACAACATTGCACTGCAATGTGCAATGTTGCAATGTTGCTGCAACGTTGCTGCAAGCTTGTGTGCTGTATGGGATATGATTAAAAATGCAGAAATAAAATTATGTCTAGACAAAATATTAATTCTGAATTTATTTTATGTTATAACAAAAATTTTTCAGGAATTAAAATTATGTACATTATAATTTTTATTCCCGAATTTTTATTAAGTACATAATTTTATTCTGGAATTTTTATTATGTACATAATTTTCATTCCCGAATTTTTATTATGTACGTAATTTTAATTCGTGAATTCTCGTAGGAATTATAATTCCTCGTATTCGATGCCTACATGTCCCAGGTCGCCGATGACGAGGTTTAAACAGCGCACTCCGTAGTTTCAAGTGTCTAGATGTATTGGTTTCTCGTACTCGATGTCTACGTGTCCCAGGTTGCCGATGACGAGGTCCAGATAGTGCGCTCCGCAGTTTTCGATGTCTAGATGTATTCCTCGTACTCGATGTCTATGTGTCCCACGTCGCCGGTGACGTGGTCCAGATAGCGTGCTCCGTAGTTTCAGGTGTCTGGATCATGTATTGATACCTCGTACTCGATGTCTACGTGCCTCAGGTCGTCGATGATGATGTCCAGATAGGGCGTTCCGTGGTTTTCGGTGTCTAGATGTATTAATACTTTGAATTTGATATCTACGTATCCCAGATCACCGATGACGGGACCCAGGCAGTGTAGTTTTTGGTATCTAGGTGTTCTAATTCTCCGAATTCGATGTCTACGTGTCCAGATTAGGATTTAAAGTATTAACACATCTAGGTACTGAAAACTACGGAGCACACTATCTGAACCTAGTCATCGACGACCTGAGATACGTAGACATCGAGTACGAGGTATCAATACATCCAGATACCTGAAACTACGGAGTGCGCTGTTTAAACCTTGTCATCGGCGACCTGGGACATGTAGACATTGAATACGAGGAATTATAATTCCTACGAGGCACAGTGGTCTGGAACGAACAAACACTTGTTCAAAATAGGCTACAGGTCGTATTTCTTAACCGATTTTAATGTTTCTTGAACAGAAATACTCGGAAATAAATTCTGAAGAGAACTGTGAGAGCCGAATTTTGATTTTTTGTGTTGGTGCAAAAATATGTAAGAAAAAAATG